AAACAGCAATAGGGAAACGGAGAGAAACACATCTCATGCGATGAACAACTTATAGAGTATTGTTTAATCAATCAGCTGTACATATGAAAATGCTAGTCGCAATTTTATTTTCTGTTTTCACAGTTCTGTACAAACATGACTGGCTGAGTGCTTTGTTCTGTTTGCCTCTCTGATTTGTTTGTGTCAATGTTACATCTATACTGTTGGGGTTTTGTGCTTAAACCTCGATTTTGAGCAAAAGGGGATAAATTTTCTGCTGCTGTTACTGAGTTTATGGTTTCCCAACCATCCATCCATCCATCCATCCATCCATCCATCCATCCATCCATCCATCCATCCATCCATCCATCCATCCAATGTACCACACAATGGTTTAGAGTTTCTCATGTTTATTCAGTAAAATTGTAAATATATTAGCAAAATAGAAAGTTAAATATGATTTTTTAAAATCATATCATAATACCTTTGATACTAAAATAATACTAAATAAATAATACTAAAATACTATGTGAAAGTCTTTTTTCTTCTACTTTTAGTTACTTCATACATCTCAATGCGCAGTGAACTATCAGAAAATAATGCAGTCCTCACTGTACAGAGCGCTCGTATAAATAGATCAGAGGCTAGCGACGTCAGACTTCTTTCTTGTTCTTAATGAGTTTCTAAAATAGACTTTTGAATCCTCACTCAGAAATATTTCAATATTTCAACCAGTTTTCGACCTTCTGCACAATGAATGCTGTCTGATTTTAAGTGGTCTTTTACAACCTTATCCTTCGATGTCTACTCTCCTTTACTTCGTACCATGCCCATATTCACAAAGAAAAGGGTTTTTTTTGTTGTGAGAGAATGATTTGTTGCCAGGCAACTAGTCTAGAGCAAGCATCACTATAAGCATCACAGTATGTTATTAGTGTGTGTCTTTGACAAGTGACAAGGCTCCCAAATCCTGCTTTTTAGTTTGAATGCATGAAACAAGACTGTTCAGGTGCAATGTTTCAACTGATGTGTGTGTGCGTGTGTGTGTGTGTTAATACGGATGTTGTTGCTATTTCTGATGATTCGTTATAGAAAAAGGAGAGGTGAGAACTTAAATTTGGCATAAGTGTGAACTGCTGCAGTTTTAATACAGCTTTATGAGTGTTTTATAGGACAGACCAGGGGGAAGCAACCTTTTCAACTCACCTGCGGTCTTAGCAAGACACTCAGGAGGAATGTCAAAATCAGACAATGGAGGAGTGAGGTGTTGTCCCGTTAGACCATCAGTTCCCAGAACCACACACATACAAAGAAAACCTTCTTAAGAGGGTAAATCCAAAGAGCCATATATGCCCTCAAAAAACATAACTAATATAGAACTGCTGAACTTACATGACTCTTTGAAGACCTTTTGTTTTCAGCCTTTTGTTTTGAATATTTTTTTAGGTGAAACATCTCAAAAACATCCTCTGCCTCCTTCCTTACGGATCTTGCCATTGAGCTGGCTTCTCAGGACTTGCCTTATTCGTTGGAGGTTGTGGCTCATTTCCTTGTTCCCTCTCTTTGTAACCATCCGGCCACACTTCTCTAGTCTCGCTCGCTCTTGGCGTACAGCTTGATCATCCATGTATAGGAGGTGACTGTATAGGAAGTGTGTGTGTGAGTGTGTGTATATATATATATATATATATATATATATATATATATATATACACACACACACACACGCACACACACACACACAAAATACTGACAACGTTTGGTTTATTTTAAATAGCTGAAAATTGACTTCTAGTTGAAACTTTCACATTTTATGCAAAAAAAGAGATGCATGTTAAATAGGCCCTGCCAGATTTTCAATACATTGTCAAAATCCAAAAGAAAAATCCTCAGATCTGCAAGAGGATCTACAGAAAGAGGGAGTAGTCTCAGAGCAAGCAATCTCTTGGTAAGGTTGTCCAGTGGTGAAACTGTCATTAGTAAATTAGCAGTGTGGTAGATTGATATTGTAACAGGACGATCAATAACGCTGCAATCGGTCGCTGATGCATAAGTTGCTGCAACTGCCAACTTTCAGTTTCTCTCCCTCCATCACTTTGCCCTATTTTTATGAAGCTGTTTCGTATTTTGCTGACTGCATTGCTGCCGCGCCTCCCCCACAATGCTGTCATCCTAAAGTCTTCATATCCACAGGGTCTGAACCTGAGAATATTTCCCTTTATTAAAGCAATAAAACATAAAAGATCCATTAAAAAACATGGCTTTGGGTCTACTGGAAAGTCTTGCTAGGAATTCCAAACAAAACCTGATTAAAATGCTTTCTACAACAGAAAGAGTTTCAGGAACGATTGAAGTAAATAAATGTCAGTGGATGGAAAAGTATGAAATAATTGTAGGAAATCGATTGCATTTGACTGAATAGCTAAATTATTTATGGGGATGACGTTTTTTTTTTTTTTTTTTTTTTCAGACAGTCGGTTCCACCAGAGCTCACAGCATCACACAGCTTATGAAAAGTTGTGTGTCACTCCAACATGTTGAATCCATAGCTCTTCTGTAAAATGGCCGACTATAATTTTCCCAAACTGCCACATATGTAGCCGCTCCAATACCTGAAAGATGCTAACGTCTCCTCTGATTGGCTGATAGATGTTGAGTGCTAGCGCCACGGCTAATTTATGAATATATCTCATGTATCTGTTTACATCCGTCGCTGCCATGATTTATAATGTGATTTCAGCTTAAATTCTTTAATGGAAACACCGTAATTAAGAAATTGTGTTTTCTTGACATTAGTGGGTGCATAGGTAAAGAATTGAGCACATTTATAAACGAACCACAGCTAGTTTTGTCTCGAGGCAAGTTTGCTCTTGTGCTCGTTCTGCCCTCTTCGTCAGGCAGCAGTCCAGGTTTTGGAAACCTGTTGGTAAAAACCCGAACATCGTCCACATCACAGCAATCAAAATGTGTGCAAGAAAGTAGAGCCTTACAGTCTGGAAATTACAGTAATCTGTTTTTATCTTTAGTGTTTTCGCGTTAAAACACTTTTTTGTTCCTGTGATCGGTGCTCTATGTGAATAAAGTTTGCTTTTTTTCCGTTTTTCATTCTATCATGTTTTCCTCTTCCAGCTCCATGCATTAATACAGGTTCTAGGGGGCGGTGCGCCGTCTTTCTCTCTTTGTTTTGATCTCTACTCATCCTCCCTCTAACACACTTCAGTGACTTATGTTTATCCATCACAGAGAGGTGGATAGAGCAGGCAGCCTACCACAGTGAAACCTCACCACTTCCAACACCAGCAGCTGCAGCAGGTTTTATTTATTTTACTCCAGTCAGCTCAGTTTTGATTTGTATACTTTATTGTTGCTGCTGCATTAATCAAACAATGTGGCATTCACTATAAACCATGATTACAAGATGCGTTTATTGTGATAATTTCACGGTCCTGCCTAAAATCCCGCTCTGCTCATCTGGAAGATCCTCAGTAGGAATGGAAACTGTCCTCTGCGGTTGCCAATTAAAACGTGGAAGTGATGCTTCTCTCCACCTGAATTACTCCTCCTCTGTTGTTCTAACCTGATAACTATTGCATCCTAAAGTAAATATAATACAAATAAGCACAAATTAATTAAAGTAACTTGTTCCTATAACTTGCCACAACATACTTTTCTATGTGGAGTCTCATATTTTCACTCTTTTTTTCTTTACTTTGGTGTTGAATGTGAATAAAAGTTTGGCAACTCTTTAGATATCTGAGATTTTAATAGAGGCTGACCTCCAGGTCAGCAGGAGTTAACTGTTGCATAGCAAAATCAGTAAATGAAATGAAAGGAAAGCACTTTATGTGTAACTGCTCAAATTTACTAAAGCCATTATGCGGTGAAAGTCAATTTGTACAAATGAGTTCCTTATTACAAAACTTACAGTTAATTATACCAATTTGCAGCTGCATTATTGTGAATCTGTTCCCAGCTTACTTTGTGTTTCTCTCTCTGTGACTTCACTTGACATTCTTTGTGAAGGACTGATTGCTGTGATTCTGTGCACTGCGGCTCAGGCACCACATTCCTCACTGTAACATGACGGGTTTTAAACCTAGACTCTATTTAAAACATTTCTATTTTATGGTTTCGTTGTAAAAAGTTATTTTAATGGGTAATTTATTTGTTCAGATTTGTCCAAACATTATTTTAAGATGATCTTGATAAGTAGATATCCAGGTTTTCCAAGAGTTTTTTTTTTTTTTTTTTAAGAATAATAATCTTAATAATAGCTTAAAATAATTCATTTCAATTTTGGCAATTATATGTATTTCACAATTCTGGTTATCATTGTGATAACTATGTAATCATCACTTAGTTTCTGGTATTCAGAAACTGACTCTTGTTGGGGGTGAACCGCCACAATGCTGCCAACTGATGTGTTAAATATTTGAATTTAAAGAAAGTTTTATACATTTCAGTTTACTAATAAAGCCTGTATTTTATTACACATAGCCGAGCGTTTTCCTACTCTACACTGACTGATTTCCAGTGTAGCTTGCAGAATTTCATCGAATATTTTTGTATGCCAATCTCCTCTCAGCACAGACCAAATTCATGAATTTCACTTGGCAACGTTTCCAGATATGGAGAAAGACCCTCTGGACTCAGGAAGGGTCAATAAGTTTTGTATGTGCATTATACAACAGCCTATGTCAATTAGGGCCATTATACTGTGCCAAGAAATAAGAAGGAAAAAAAAAAGAAGAATAAGTTGCTGTTGTTGCAGCACCGACTGCCAAAAGAAGTCAAAGTTGTCATGATGCTTCATGAATAACTTTGTCCTCTTTGGCCAGACTTTAATTAGCAGAAGATCTCACAGTTAGAGGTCTGAATACAGAATCAGGCAGCGCTAAGATTATGGAGAAGCAGGGGGCTGAGTGCAAAATGAGCAAAACAATAAAGGTTGAGTATCCCAGCATTATCGAGGAACAGTGAGACTGAAAAGCAGAGTAAGGTGAAGGAGGATGAAAAAGTACCTGTGCGAAGTCATGCGGATGAGCCTGGCAGCTGGGATGGACACCTGCAGACAGAGTAACCACTGGTAAGGTGGGAGACAAAACACAGACCACTCTAGACCCCAAATTCAACTCTGTTCCTTATATGAATTATTGTCATTTAAGGAACAGGAACATTTAAGGAAATACCAAAATTTTCATTTAACTTTATATTTTGGTCGGTCTAATTGTGTAATGTTTAAATATTAAATGATTGATCATTTGATCAGTCACTCAGTACTTCAGCAGACTTCTTACCAAATGCTTTTTACTCTTAAATAATTTCTTGGACAGCTTCTTTTTGCTTTTACTTGAGTAAAAATATGTTGAAGTGGTGCTCCTCCTGCTTGAGTAAAATGTTTGAGTATTGATTCTTCCCTCCTCCGCAGAGCAACCAGCTGAACTTTGGATCAAATTACTTCTGTCTTTGCTTTTTTTTTTTTTTTTTTTTTTTTACATTTCGTCTCTTTTCATGTGTAATAAAAAATCTGCATTAGAAACTAGACCAAAAATACTTGGTGAGATTTTGTGTTTTTGCAGTGTGCAGCAACTGAGGCAGCAGCGACGTGTTGTGGAATAAAATCTGGTGAATAAAAAAAAGCATTGCAGCATCTGAGGTTACAATTTCAAGCTTATACTGCAATTCTAACTATTATTTTCCAAATTTTTATCATGATGGTAAAAACTAAAATTAATGAATCGCTTGGTGTGTTGTGTGTGTGTGTTTGTTTGGTTTTTTTGTTGTTGTTTCTGTCAGCCTGTAGACGAGGGGCAGTCAGTTCCAGTCCTTAGAGTTCTGCATATTTTAAATGTTTCCTCAGCAGAAAACAGCTCATTTAAATGAACGGATCATTAGCAGGCTGCAGCCACCAGGTGACCGAATGAGGAGATAATTAAACTGTTTGAATAAAGTGATTTTGGGGCAGAGGCAGGCGTGAAACACACGGCACACTGGTCCCTGAAGACCAGAAGGGCCCACCTCTGCAGCAGACACGTTGCAGTAGTTGGCATACTTTGAGGTGCTTCATGGAATCTGGACTTTTCATCAGTACTTCAAAAAAATTAGACCGATTAAATCTGGAAATGATTATTCTGATGTTTTTGGCATTAGGACAATTTTGTTTAGAGATTAGAAAAGTATGATATTTAGAGAAGTCAATCCTAGAGAGAGAGAGAGATTCATTCATTGATTGGACAGCAAGTGGCATAAAAACAACACATCAGTTATTAATATTTAGTTAAAGGGTGTATGGAGTTAGATTTGTTGTCATGTCAAACAAAAAAGTAGTATTCAATCAAAAAAAAAAACAATCTTAAAAACTTTTTAATCATAAAATTATTTTTTCACTAAACAAAAAATATTTTAAAGAGTTTTTTTTTATTGAAATCACAAATTTTTGTTTGAAACTTATTTTTTGGTTGAGTCTAATTTTTTTTTAAGCTCTTGTTTTTTGTTTGAACTCGTTTTCTTGCTTATACAACTTTATTTGCTTTGGCGAAGCTTACATGAACATTCTGGGCGGGGCTTAAGGACGAGCGATGTAAGACGTGTTCCGATTGGTTAGCGCTGACTAAAGCGGATGACTCCCTGAGATCTCAGAACTCTGTCCCGAACTGCAGGGCTTCGGTGACGGGACACAGAATGTGATGGTAAGTAATCTTCACAAAATTACACCGTTTAGCAGCTTCTAAAGTGTCCACCCTGTTTCAAAGAAGAAATCTTACTCAACTTATGACGACAGTCACATATTTTGTCTGCCGCGATCCCCGGTAGCATATTGTGCTAGCTAATGTTAGCACTAGGTAAAGTTCATAAACTAGGCTTGTGTAATATTCGCCTGTCTTTATGTTGAATTCGTTAACCAGCGTACCTCTGTCGAGTTGCATTAAGCGTGGAAAATACCAAATGTATCTGGAGGAAGCATTGAAGCTAAAATGGGAAAAAGGGAATTTTGGCTCACTGAGGAGTCGGTCGGTCAGTCAGTCAGTCAAAATGTCAACACTTGTGAGAGTTTTAATTCACTGAGATGCTGAAAGGCTCCTCAAAGTGACGTTGTGATGGCGGGACGTCCTCCTGCAGGTTTCTCTTACAGAAAGAAGAATTTGTGGTTCAGTCACCGACAGCAAGCCGTCCAGGTCGTTGAGCAGCAAAGGAGAAACAGACAGACGGCCACCAGCATGTCGAGCTAAAACCGGGTGTTGGTTTGACAACACAATCGAAATAACCTTTCAAAATGGAAGGTATGGAAATATGTCTGTTCAAAATGAGAATCTGACTTGGCAAATTGACCTGGAGTTTCCTTTGAGACTTCGCATGAATGCTTACTGCACAGAAATGAAATTTGCCCGAGTGGTTTCTGCTGACTGCTCCAGTCAATGTCAGGGAAATGTGTTGGTTGCTTCCCTGTCACAGGTCCTTAGTAGCATAAAAAATATATGCAATAGAAGGGAATGTGCTACACATTTCATCAATGATTTGAAGTCTCCTGACAAGGTTAAAATAATTTCTGTTTGCTGTTACCTACTCTTAAAATGTTGTAATTTTTATTGATTTATTTAATTGTCATTTTTAAAACTTTTACATTTTATCTGTTTGATGTGTTTTTTCTAGTTTTAAACTCTTTGCAGAAGCACTTTGAATTGTCTCTGGCTGAGAGGTGCCATATAAATAAAGTTGCCTTGCCTTCTGATCACATTGCCTGAAAGCAATTGATGAAGAATGTATAGTTTCACATTGAAAATATTATAAAAGTAGGATATCAATTAAAATGTTCTGGAGTGAGGTGTGTCTCGTTTGGTGCCACAGTTCAGCATTACGGTCTTTTTGTTTCCGTGTTTCGACCGACTGGAATTTGTTGCCAGTCCCTGATGGAACCAGTTCATTCTGCAGCGGGAACACGGTGTCTCACCGAGCGTCGTCTCTGTGACAGCATCTGGCAGCAAAACCACATCCCTGCCTCTAGAGCAGCGGTGGGCAATCCTGGTCCTGGAGGGCCGGTGCTCTGCAATTCTTAGATGTCTCCCTGGTCCAACACACTTGGATCCAACAGCTGAATCACCTCCTAAGAGCAGTCAGGTTCTCCAGAGTCCTGCTAGCGACCTCATTATTTGACTCAGGTGTGTCGAAGGTGAGACGCATCTAAAAGTTGCAGGAGACCGGCCCTCCAGGCCTGGAGTTGCCCACCCCTGCTCTAGTGAATCACAGAGAGTCTGTCACAAACCCAACATAAAACTAACTTCACTGCAGGAGTAAATCCGCTAAAGAAGAAAAAAAACTGAGTTCAGAATGAAGAAGAAAGATTATTAGATCAAAACGGTTTGACCTCCAGCCGAACCGGAGTCGGCTGGAGGTCCGACTCCGCCTATGACACAACTGTCTGTAATCTGATTGGGTCCTTAATTGTGGGATGGACATGACATTGACCAATCAGCTCAAAAGCAGAGAGCCCTGGTAAAAATTTGTACTTGCAGCTTGAACCTACAGAATCAAGGAAAGTTCAGCGCATTTTCTTTGATTATTTCTAAAAATATTTTTTTTTTTACCAAAATTTATATTTTTTGTACTTTTTTTTCCACAATTAACATTTAGCCAAAAAATGTAACAAACAAATCTTTTTTTTCATACACCCGTACGTACAACTGCATATTAGGAACATTGCAGATAGAAAATACATACATACATTTTTGCCAAAAAAAAAAAAAAAATCAATGAACAGATTTGAGTTTAAAAAGTTAAAAAATTTTCAGCTTTTTCAAATTTACATTCCTACATTTACCCAAGAACAATCTGCCCTAATAACTGCATATAAATATGGCTGTTTTCTCAACATATCAGTGACTGTTCTGTCTCTGTTGCACACAATCTAATAAATCTCAGTTATTCCAAAGACCAAAATAACGAGAACGAGAAAGTACAAGTTGCTTAACGGAGCATCATTATTACTGGCATTTGAACCATTGCCCAGCTGTCAACAGGTTTAATTCTTGCTGGCAAACATAAAGGAACTGTTTGGAAAGAAGTAACAATCTGTCTTCCTCTCCCCCAAATCCAGTGAACTGCTCATTAGCTAATGACAGAAAGCTATTCTTGCTCTTGGCAGCTCCTGCCTGAATGTGTCTCACACAAATCTTTCTTCCATAGGCATTTTTTTTACTTCTTTGTCTTTTTATAGAAACACGTTTATCCTCATGTATGCAGAAACTTGACCACAAGCAATTAATAATTTAGCTTTAATCAACTCCTCTTTGGTAAAGATGTGGGCCACTGAGGAGACGGTATCGACCAAATCTGCATTCGCTGCCTTGGTTTTCCCAATGTAGACACTTAAGAGAGCTGCTTGAATTAATAAATTAATATTTGCTTTTCTACAACAATTGGAACTCATTGATTATCTTCTGTTTCACCCATTCGGTTGTAGATTCCCAGCTGTGCTTTAGATCACGGCCCACTTTGGTGAAACTTTAGCTGCTGATCAAAGAACATCACATCTGACTATTACACATTTTGCTATGCAAGTATTTTTATTCTTGACTTTGAGGATGCTCCACTATTTCCTTTTATGTGATATGGATTCGGTTTGTCCAAATATTTGTAACCTTGGAATTAGCATCTGTACTTATGTTGTGGTTGTATTTTATGTCATTACTTCTTTTTCAGTTTTATGCTTAAAGAACTGCTACCTTGAAAACATGACAAAAACAGGGGGTGAATTATATCCATAACACTTTTTTTCATAAAAATGTTAAATGTAAACGTATTTGTTACTGGTTGCAAACACATTTGAAGCAGATCATGCAGTGTTATTTTTTCACAGTGGTTACAATTTAACAGTTGAGTAAAGTCATTCAAAACTAGATGAAAACGTAACTAAAGTGGAACCATAACTGTCAAATTTATTATCTATGCTAAGTCATTTAATATGACAGAAATGTAGCTTAAACAAATTTAGCAGATACATGTTCCCTCATCTGAGACCTCCATGCAGGAATACAACCCAGCAAAGATCCACTTCATAGTTTTTACAAA